GGTTCTGGGCAGTCTTCTCACTCTACTCTTTTTAAAGGCTGAATCTATTTCCAAGGCTTTAGTTATCAACTCTACATGCTGATGATTGAATTATACTTATCCTCTTCAATTTCTAACCCCAATTTTCAACTACCTCCTGGATCTCTATTCGAATGTTCCTTGAGCCCTTCAAACTCAAACTGTCAGAAACTCAACACGTATCTTTCTCACTTCTCTGCCCTAAATTCCTATTTCCTCTTTGCAATCCAGAATTACTTTTGGTAATAATATCCACCCAGACACTTGTGCTAGAAAATAGGACTGTTTCATTTCTCTTTCTCACGACCCCCATATCCAAACAGTTGCCAAATCCTTTTGGTATCACCTTTCCCACTTATCCTCTTCTTTCTATTCCCAATCATTGCTGCTCAGTGGTCAGCCCTCATGACAACATAAAAGCCATGAGGGAGCTCTTCAAGTTTGCAGTATTTTCCTCTTCAAACCATATACTGAACAAAAACTAGAGTAATCTTTCTTACAATTAACATGGGATAAGTGCTTTATCCACTTTTAATTTCCTCACCTTTCATCGCTTGCCCCTGTCCCATACAACCTCCAAATCTCCCAACATCACATGTATGCCCACCGTCCCGTGCTTAGCAGGCCCTGTCCCACTTTTCCTGCTGTTTAAATTAACCCTGCTGTGAGCTCCTTTCCACTGATGCATAATCACCATGTCCTTCCAAAGTACTTTGTTCATACTATTAGTAAAGCACCTAAGCACACTGTTATAATTAAGAGAAAATTCTCGTCTCTCCTACTAAGTAGTAAAGTCATGAGCTCTTGGACTGATTCTTGCTTGTTTTTCTACCCTCAGTACCAGGTACATAGCTGCATTCAACAAGCGTTTGTTCAAATGACGCCCCACCTGCCATTTTACAGGCCAGCCTATACGACCTCACTTCATTTAGTCATCCATTGCCGCCTCTCGGAAAATGTTCTAAGCCTGAAGTAATTCTCTTCTAAGCAACTCTGGTCACTTCTTCCTGTTTTTGGAATGCTACCTCCTCTACAAACCTTCTCCAACTACCTTAAAGACAGCTGGTAATTTTCTTCCTATTTTACCCTTCTGAAATAATCCAATTCCCTAATCCCTTCATTTACTGCATTTAGCACAATAAACATATTTTATTTCATATAAAAGGCAGACTTAAGAAAATCCAGATCATGTATACAACCCTCTCTCAACTGTGAGATGACAATGTCAAGAAATAGCTTTTGGAACTGGGCAAGCTTCACAGAGTGGCCGACCTTCAGCTGTGTGCGTCTCCTGATGGTCTCAGATGCTTCTGTTAGGTTAACAATCAGGCTGTGTAGATCTTAATGGTGTTTACTACTACAGCTTTTAAACGTTTGTACATGTAGCAAAGGTCACATCTGTTTTTCTACACTGAGATCACCTACTACCGTCTGATCAACAACAGTATCTCCCATGTAAGAATAGCAGTGGGTCTGTTAGGAGTTAAAGGCCTTTCAGGCCTTTTCTCACCAACGATCCTTAAGGAAAGGAAGCATTTTAAATATCTTTCTCCTTTCCTCCAACAGTACTACAAAGATTTTTTAAATTAAAAGTAAAAGGAAGTAGTAATATCATTTTCCACTCAATTCAATAATGAAAACATAAAAGTTTCTAAGAAAAGGGGCCGACACTGCTACAATCAAAACAGGCAACTCTAAGGATAAAACATGTTGTACGTCAATGACTATCCAAATTTGATTTCCCCACAGAAAGAACAACAATGTACACGTCTGACAAGTAGCCTAATAACCTACATTTTGTAGAAATGCCCGCTTAATAAACCTAACTTCAATAAAAAATTATTTGTTGGGTACCTTTGGTAGAGGCCAATTAATAATATACTATTATGGCACATGGTATATATTAATAAATTAATATCTCACATTAAATGAATGACTACTATGTGCCAGATACAGTGCTTAGCATTTAAATTAACCCCATTTAATGTTCCCAACCACCCGTGGATGTGGATACTGTTATAATCCTCATTTTAGAAATGAGGAAACCGAGGCTGAGGTAATATAATGTTCCCAAAGTTACACAGCTACCAAATGGTACAGTCAGAATTCAAATCCAAGTATATTTATTTCCAGAATCTGTCCTCTAAATTGCCATACCGTACTGAAGTTATTTTTAAAGCAAATTAGAGGGAATAAAGTAACTAGCCTACACAGACTTTTTTTTTTTATTAAATGAAGAAGTTTATCTTTCTTCTTTTTCACCCTTTTTTAACTATAATAACTTAGAAATTAGAGGGGTACCACTCTGGTTGTAGACTTTGAGATTTTCCAAATGACTCGGGACACTAGATGCTATTGGAGGAGACTTATCCAAGTGTTACTTGCCCTCTTTATCCCCCTATTGGCACCTCAGCTGCAGTCCTGGGGATCAAAGAGCTAGTCTTTCTGCCACATTTACACTGGTATCTGCTGCTACAGGTTGAGGACTTGGTACCTATATGCGTGCTCACTACCCTCACCTGACTGCAGCAGCACTCCCATGGCTGGACAGAGAGGAAACTGGAAAAAGGGCAGTTCTGACCTCAGGTAAGCAACATCAGTAATCTGAGCTCACAGTGCTGTAACATCTCAAAATTATTCTTCACTTATAAAACAATATGCCATAAAAGATGCATTTAAATAGTAGCTTTATTTTAGATAACTGGCAAAAGGGAGAGGGGAAAAAAGACATTAATGTGTTGAAACTGAGAGATAATAAAATAATTTAAACATGAAATGAGAAAAAATAGAATATATAAATGGTTTAGAAATGGTATAACTTGATTTATAAAAATTTTACTTTAATAATCTATTAAATTGATTATCCATCTGGTGCTTAACATTCTATTTTTATTTTTTAATTAAAAGAATTTTTTATATTAATTTCAGGTGTACAAAGCAACATAATGATTAGACATTTACACCCCACCAAGTCTACTACCCCTCTCTCACATCGTATATGGCTGTTATTACAATACCACTGACTATATTCCCTATGCTGTAATTTACATCCTGTGACTATATATATATTTAATTATAGTTGACATTTAATATTATTCTACATCAGCTTTAGGTGTACAGCGCAGTGGTCAGGCATCTACACAATCTATGAAGTGATACCCCTGATAAGTCCAGTACCCATCTGGCACCCTACATCATCTGTACATTATTAACTATATTCCCCATACTGTATTTCACATCCCCATGACTATTTTGTGACTACTAATTTGTATTTTCCAATCCCTTCACCTTCTCCCCATCCCCCAACACCCCTTCCACTGAAATTCTTTTTTTTAATAAGATGGAACTTGATAAATAAAACAGTCAATTAAAAAAAAAGCAAACAGAAATCCTAAAATGTCACCATGTAAAATTTAAATATAATTTGGCTATTAAATTCAATACCATAAATAAATACCATCTCATCTGGATTGATAATTACTACATCAGTGAAAAAGGTCAAAGAGGAAATCATTAAAAACAACACATACATACTTAAACATTTTATTTGAACTCAAAACAAATAAAGGTACATTCATTCGCTAACTTCTGATGCAGGACCATGGCTTTTATTTTTATAGGTTTGCTGACTAGAGTTCGTAAGCAAATCACAACCAAATGCTTTCATCACCTCTAGTTTCCATTTCTTTTTTTTATTATTATTATGTTTTTTGGTGTTTTTTTAAAGGATTTTATTTGGGGAATTGGGGGGGATGGGAACAGTGCTGGGGAATTGGGGGAAGGGGAACAGACAAGTTGCTGTCCTTTTGTTCTTCAATCTAGTTGTGGAGGATGTTGCTTCACTGGCCCAAGTTGGCACCATCATTGCACTCTTCCCTGACAAGGCAGATCAGTCGCCGGCTTCTGGACGGCCGCTCACTGCGGCTGCTGGCCGCTCACGCTGGCTGCTGGCTACACACGGTAGCCCATGACAACCCACTGCCACAGGGGCTGCAGCCTACGCCGTCGCCAGCGACTCACGGCAGCCCAGCTCCAGGTTGAGCTGTTGTTCAGCATCTTAGCTGTGGAGGGCAGTGTCACTGGCCCTCATATGTGGGATCCGAACCGGGGCCCTCTGGTGTCCCAAGCCAGTTCTCAACCATCACGCCACTCGGCCAGCCCAGTTTCCATTTCTTTAAAGGGAAAGAACTTGTAAAACAACATCAGTACAGAATTCTTCTAGATTACAACTGTCCCCGAAGTATTTTACAGCTCCCTTCCTCCTGCTTAATTTAGACAGAGAAAAATAATGTAAAGCAATTTGTCTTTCCTAAATCTTTTGAAAACATTTAACTAGGCCTCAAGAAAACGGCTCTTCCCTCATTCATATTTCATTGGTGTATGTAATATTTTAATTAATGTACATAATTATAATAATGAGTACACTGGCCTAAACAGGTCTGAGAACAAACACAACTGCCTTCTGGTAGTAGTGGTGGAAGCAGACATGCTACGATGAAGAGCCTACCACTCGCTATGAGGCAGGTTTCACCTGCTGAGAGCATCGGGGTAGAGATGTCAGCCCATCTATGAAGTCCGTTAAAGCTTCTGCTGAATTTCCTGTAACTATTCTATTAACTTCTCTCCTGTTTATTTGTATGAATGTGCTTACAAGTGGCTAAGAAAGCATCTTCTGTCAATGGAACTGTGATGGAACTACAATTATGAAGAATGGCTCTGACTGTTTTAAGAATAATGGCTGCTCTTATTCAAGATGGATGTCAATGACTTCTTAAGATATTTACATCATTCATTCAGTTTTGTTTCAGTATGTTGTGCGAAACATACACAACTGGGTATTACTCTGTTCCATGATTAAACATCGTAATCTTAAGCTTCCAGAAAGGAGTCATATCTCATACTGTTTAATATTTAGCTCAACTTTGTACTAAGTCTGCTAAAACATGCTTTCTACTGATAAAATAATCTTCTTTTCTGGCCTTCAAATATCCTTCCAATGCCGTGGCCTCTTAGTTCTTTGAACTCCTCACCTTACCCACTCATGCCCATGAGACCTAGTCTGGTCTCTGCCATTACCAGCGACCACAACCCCTCCATGATCCACCTCACACACGCGCTCCCGGACTCCTGTCCCTCCAGCTTGCTCTAGCTTACCTGTCTTACCCTACTACTCCTGGAACCCTTCAATCCCCCCAGGAGCTACTCTCTGTCGATCCTAACCTCTTTTCTCTATCCTTGATCCTCATGATGTCCATCTTCCTTTCTTGTCCAACTTAAATTCTGTGGTCAATCATTATAATCATTCGTTGCTTTCAACTTCAATTCCCTGTCCCACTATCGCTTCTTCACACTCACTTGGCAAAATTACAACCCTGGTTAAATCTAATTCTCTACCTAGTCTGCATCTTCACTCATGCAGCTGAACATAGCTAGAGACAAACAACAATGCTGCTATATCTCACTTTCAGTTCATTGCTACTCAGCAATCATTGTATTGGGTTGTCGGAAAAGTCAGGACGCATTTTTGCAATGAAAAACAAAGAAGAAATATGTCATGACTTTCCCGACAACCCAATATTTCCCTAATCTGTTCACTCTCCCTTTTTCCCAGATGCCATTCCGCCCACTTCCCTTTTTCTTCAAACTCTCTATACGTCCCCTTTTCATCTTCACTCTCAGCTAATGGATGGTCTTGTTTCCTACTACACTGAAAAAACAATCTAAGCAAAGTTTAATAAACTTCTACCACATTTACCCTTCTACAAGCACATGCATCAATATCCTCTACTTTCCCTCCTGTTACTATGGATGAATTCAGCGTGGTATGGAATAATGAAAATAGGTGGGTACTGGCCCCAGAAAAACCAGAGCACAGCTTAGCATGTTACTGAATGGTCCTGGGTAGGTTACCTCATGTCCCTCAGTTTTAGTTTCCTCATCTGTAAAATAGGGCTAATAGTGTGTAGTTTGTAAAGCTATTATGATAAGCTGACTGGCACATAATAATAAGTCTCATTAAATATCAGTGCCCTTATTTTATCTTATTTTAAGAATAGCTCAGGGGAATATAAACTGGTGCAGCCATTATGGGGAATAGTATGGAGGTTCCTCAAAAAATTAACAATAGAACTACCATACAATCCAGCAATCACACTACTGGACATATATAATCGACAGATATGAAGTTAGGATCTCTAAGAGATATCTGTAACCCATGTTCACTGCAGCATTATTTACAATAGCTAAGACATGGAAGTGACCTAAGTGTCCATCGATGGAGGAATGGATAAAGAAACTGTCACACACACACACACACACACACACACACACACACACACACACACANCACACACACACACACACACACACACACACACACACACACACACACACGAAATAGTATCCAGCCATAGAAAAGAAGAAATCCTGCCATTTGCAACAGCATGGATGGACCTAGAGGGCATTATGCTAAGTGAAATAAGTCAGACAGAGAAAGACAAATACCATATGATCTCACTTATATGTGGAATATAAAAAATGAACCAACAAAAACCTGAACTCATAGATACAGAGAACAGATTGGTGGCTGCCAGAGGCAAGGGAGTGATGGGTGAAGATGGTTAGTTATAAAATAAACAGGTTATATAATGTACACCATGGTGACTAACAGTTAACATTACTATATTGTACAAGTATATTTGAAAGTGGCTGAGCAGATCTTAAAATTTCTCATCACAAGAAAAAAATTATAACTGTGTGGTGATGGATGGTAACTAGACTTATTGTGGTGATCACAATACATACAAATATCAAATCATTATGTTGTACACCTGAAACTAACACAATGTTATGTCAATTATATCTCAATAAAAAAGCTCATAAATCATATGGTATATGAATTTTATCTCAGAACTGTTGCCCCTTCTCCAAAACAAAGTTGTTTCCGCCCGCCCCCCAAAATGTATATTTTTCACTAATTCCAACTGTCCTTCTCCTAATTGGCCTTAAATTGGGAAATTACACCGAATATAGCAAGCTGGATATAAAAAGGGATTTATGTGGCAAAGTAGAAAAGATTACTCCCTAACAATTATAAAAAGTGGATCCTGGTTTCAATATACAATTAAGAAAACTTTCAAAAATAGTATTTGTGAATCAAAAATAAATCTTAATTTTATTATTATGATTTTTCATTCACTATTTTTTCCCTTTAAAAGTTTCTCCTAAACCATGAATTACCCCCGTAGTTGGACTAATTTCTAACTATGGGCTCTATGATCTGATGGTGTAGACTGTGGAGTAATATATAGAATACAGATTAACATACTGCCTTAATAAAATTGCTCTGTTTGGTCAAGTTTCCCATGTTCGGCTAGGCTGAAAACAAGAGATCCCATTGAATCACTACATGGGCACTGCCGTTCTAGATAATGGAATTATAATTTTTCTTTCTGAAGTTAATTTAATGAATAATTTTGCATTTGCCTTCAAAGTTGACTTTCCGTCCTACTTCCTCCATCTAGCATTCGTCAACCAACCACACCCACTGTATCTACCACTCATATAATCCCCCTCATGATGACAATATTGAGTGTCCCTGTAAACCAGGAACTGTACTTGATGTTTGACATGTCACTTCATTTTAACCTCACATGAACACTAGGAGGCAGAAATCATTACAGTTTACAAGCAAAGAAACCGAGCTTCAGTAACTTGGTGAAAGTAATATGGCTGGTAAGGTGGAGGCCTGGGATGCAAACCTCCCGCCTCCAAAGCTGGCTCCCAGCCACTGTGCCATGCTGCCTCAGTCTCAGGAGTCCACTGTCTTGTGACTCATCGCCTTGTCTTGTGAATCATTATTTAGTGAACAGGTCTTGTCTAACCAACTTGCACATTGCACGGTGTCCTTCGCACAGTGGACACTGAATAAATGCTGCATTTTTATTGATAATTTGGATGACCTTTGTCTTCCTAGGTCATATGGAAACCCTGAAAGCAGTATGTGACTATACTGTGTCTAGGCTATTGCCTAACTCGCAAGAAAACAGAAAGTAGCAATACTCCTCGTGGCAGGCAGGACAGTAAGGCAGCACAGCAAAACCAACCCTGCATGGCAAAAGACTGAAATCAGAAGCCACACAGTGAATGCTGGCAGCACACAGTTTAAAACGAGAGAAGACAGGATGGAAGAACAATTTGGTGAAGAGGCTGAAGTGGTTCACCGCAGATACAGTTCTGGCTTAGCAACTACTCGTAACAGGTAATTCCGTCATACATTTCGTCTATTTAAATGTGAAACAAAAGTCCCTATTTGAAATATTAAGTGATACGGGAGAAAAACGATCAAGAACTTTTGTCTTTCACATAATAACTAGAGATTCTTGCTCAAATCCTACTCAGTTCGGATGTGAACCGGGCATCAGCAAACTATTGGGTTGTTGGAAAAGTCATGATGTATTTTTTCTATGTTTTTCGTTGCAAAAATGCATCATGGCTTTTCCTACAACCCAATACTTTTAGTGTAATAAGCTGTTCCAGTTCCAGCTCTAGTCCAAAGACTAAAGGATAAAGAACAGATTGTGAGAAACAAGAGTATAGTTGTAAGGGAAAAGGAAAATAAAAGTATTCTTTTTCCTACCAATGACTTCTTATGGTCTTTTACAGAACAGCCATGTCTTTGAAACATAAGTAAAAATTAATACATGTTCAGAGTACTGACCTGCACTATCCAGTATGGTAGCCACAAGCCATGTGTGGCTACTGAGCACCTGAAATGTGGCTAGTCCACACTGAGATGTACAGTAACTATAGAATACACACCAGATTTCAAAGCCTTAGTACAAAAAAAATTTAACTATCTCAACATGTATTGTTGAAATAATATTCTAGATATGTTGTGATAAATGTTATTAATTTTGCCTATTTCTTTTTACTTTTTAATAAAGCTGTTGGAAAATTTCAAATTATGTATGTGGCTTGCATTATATTCCTGTTGGACAACCCTGGTATAGAATATGATATGGAAAAAGCAGAGAAAGAAAATCTCAGTTGTGATTCACTAAAGATTTGTAAGTCCTTGATAACAGCCTGTTACACAGAGTTCCATTTTCCAGAAGATGGGTATTTCTGGTGTTACATAAACACAGGTCTTAAAGCCAGAGTAGCTTGGGCTTGAGTTTGATCTCTGCCACTGACCAGCTCTGAAACCAATGACTTCCTAGCCAGAAAATCTTGGGTAAGTGACTTAACAACTCGGGGCCAATCACCTCCTAATGCTATTATGAGGGTTAAATGCAATGATATAACGAGCACAGCATTTTAAATGGTAATTATGATCCTCCTAAAAAAATTTCTGTGTCATGCTTTTAACATATTTTGGTGTCACTTTATTTTTTTAAAAAGGACTAATAAAATTAGTGGCCTTGTGGGTGCTGTTTTTAAAGAATTCAGCTTCTAAATTTTAATCAAAAGGAATGAACTATTAGGAAAGATGATAAAATCTTCATTGTTGGAAAACTTCAAAAAGAAAAGAGGCATATTATTTCTCCTGGAAAGTTTAAATCAGAGAGTTGAGAACCAAGATGAGTTTACGCTACTTGTGAAAGAGGCAAATCTAGTTCCAGATTCACCATCTGGGGGTGGTGGTGGGGAATTCATTTGACATTCTGGTATCGATTTCCTCATTTATCAAATAAAGGAGAAAGACTAAATGATCTCTGAAATCCCCTCAGCATTAGGACTCTTCTCAACAATGGATCTGGAGGTTACATATAAATTTCATTTTTTTTCCTTTTTTTAAAAAAAAGATTTTATTATGGAATTGGGGAAGGGGAACAGCCAAGTTGTTGTCCTTCAATCTTAGTTGTGGGTGGCACAGCTAGCTCAGCTCCAAGTCCAGTCACCATCTGGCCACCCACTGGCAGCTCGCAGCCGCTCAGCTCAAGGTGCTGTGTTCAATCTTAGTTGCGGGTGGACATAGCCCACCATCCCATGCAGAAGTCGAAATGGCAACCTTGTTGTTAGTATCATGTGCTATCACCAGCTGAACCATCCTGCCACCTGTTGGCAGCTCAGTAGCAGCTCAGCTCAGGTGCAGCTCACTGGCTCTTGTGGGAATTGAACCAGCGACCCCATAGCTCAGAGCTCGCGCTCTTAACTAACTGAGCCACTCAGCCAGCCCTATAAATTTCTATTCACCACTTTCAAAGCTGTCCAGCCCCCCGCTGCATTCTTATTTCCCACCATCCCCTAGTCTGCATGTTTTAATGAAGCTTTCTGACAGTCTTAATAACTCCTTGCCCAAGTTGTTTTACCCAGAAACTTCCACAAACTCATTCTTCCCCCTACAACCATTTCCTCAACACATCTATGTACATATCCAGTTTAGCATACATTTAGAAGCAGTGAAAACGAGAAAACTATTTCCCTGCCCTCAACTCCAGGTCCCAGTTTAACTGCTCTCACCTTGCTGGCACTCACATAATTGTTAACTGACACATTTGTTAAACCAGGAAAAGGCATGTAGCAAATGAGTGGGCCATTTAATTTAATGTCAAAAGTAACTAAAATGATCTGTAACACAATTATTTGTGAAATTACCTGCTGGCTAACTGGTTATATTTTACCGGGGGTAATTGTGGAAAGGATCCCTAACTATGAGTTTTATTTTATTTTCAGATCTGAGGATTAAATAAAGTATCTCCAGCTTTGCCCCAGGGAGGCATGTGACTTTAGAAAATTAATTTTGCTTTCTGTGACATAGTTTGCTTATCTCTGAAAGAGAATTAATAATCATCACATGCTCAAAAGCATTGTGACCTCACCAGAAAGGCTCAGAACAAGCATAAGCTATCAAATTTCAAACAGGCAATCTCACAGTAAGAGCCAACTGATATTAACAACAATGTTGAGGTAAAAACTTTGAAGAGGTGGGAGTTTTGAGAACAACAACAAAAATGAATGCCTCATTGCTTCCCAATGATAGTGTTTTGGTTTTTTTCCTCCTGGAAAGCCTGGCTTTCCCCTTACTAAAGAGAGCCAATCTGGAAGCTTATTTTACAGTCAGCTCAATTCTTTCAGTTACTCAAGGAGAAAATGTTAAGGTACTGCCTTCATATGGGAAAGCAGCACTTGTAATCACCAACAGCTGAATTAATATCTTTGATTGCTTTTTCAATTAGAGGCGATGTAAGTAAGAGTTTAGAGAAAAATCACTTCTGTAGGCAGTCAGAGCACTATTTTCTAGCACCTCTGGTTAAAAGCACATAAGCTGTAGAGACAGACAAATTTTAGTTCTACTACTGTTGTTATGCTTGTACCATTGTAACAAAAGGCCTCAGTCAACATGGGTTCCTGTGGGGGGCACCCTTGTTCAGTACAGCCCATGTCGTTTCCAGCAAGAATCCATGCTCTTCTTTCTCAACCAAACTGCTCAACAGCCTCAGACAGTGAGGCCTGCAGTGCTTACTCTTATCCCAGTCCTCCCCATCTTTTTACCATCTCCTCCCACCCCTCCAGCCAGCGGTTGTCATGGCCATCCCAAGCGGTCCTCAATCCAAGCCCAACCCGAGTCCCTTCCTAGTGGGCTGTAGTCAATAAACACACTTCTAAATGTGAAGTTAGGAAGTACTCCTGAGTGTGCCCAATTATAATAGAACAATGAATACCCTAAGAAAATAAGGCTAAACTTATCTGTCCTATTCCAGAACTCATGGACCTAAGAGGAACACAAGAAAACATGACAACAGTTTAGGTTTCTTATGGCAATCATTAACACCACACAGAACAGCACTCCGAAAGATGATGCAACAGCTCACTCAGGGAGTAAGAGCAGTGTACTTCCTGTCTGGGAGCCAGGTGTGTTTGAGATGACAGCTAATGGGCAAGTGCTGTTTCTCCAGCTGCTAACAATAAAACCTGCAATGAAGGATATTTTCAAAGCACCCACCTTATTGAGGACATCTCGCTGGCAGCCAAGATAAAGATTGGGAAGAATTCGGGTTGGCCCAATGTTGGCAACAGGTAAGCAAGGCTGAGAAATGCAGGTAGGGACTAGCGTGGATTTTCCTTCACAGAGGCCAGGGAAACAGCGGGAGAACTCTGCAAACCCACCTAAGAATAAATAGTATAAAATTATGCCATGCACAAAGATAGAAATCAGCCTCTGTGAAGTACTCACATAAAACTGTTTGAAAAGAAAAACCAAATCCTGTAAGATGCAAGTGAGAATACTGCACACGTATTCCTGTCTAAAGGCGCTGACTACCAGGTCTGATAGATAACCCTGCACGAGTCTTGGCTTGTGGGGCCACAACAGGGATAACAAAGCCCTGAAGGCACTTAAGATGACGCCTCTCTTCTTCCACACCCTCTTCATCTTCACTTGCCCTGCAACATTTGCTCCCCGTTGGCCATCCCCCATGTGACTGCTTTTTTTTGGAATGTAAAAAGGGTTTAAGGTAAGTAGCAAGTAACCAAGGCAAGACAATTATTCACAGAAACAAAATGAGGACGTAAGAAATGTGAACTGGGGCCAGAAGGTATTTCTTCCAAATAAAACTGATCAAGTTAAAAATTCTTTCTGGAATTAAGTTTAAATCTTCCTACTATACAGGGTTTTTTTTTACTGCAAAGGTATCACAAACATACTCAGCTCTACTCTTACAAATATTCACTATGTCAAGTCCTTGGGACTCCCTGGGGAGTTACTCAGGGTTCCCATAAATACCGCTGATTGTTGGGGTCTTCCATTCCTTTTGCTGAGCACTATAAAGAAGTGCTGACAGACCCTAGTTGGTTAGAGTACGTGACGGCTTTGCAGCAAGATTCCTGGACTCAGAATTCTGTTTTTTCCTAGTCCTATCCTTATAATGATCTGCTCCATGACCTTCCTTAAGTCACAGTCTTGCCACTTCTTAATGAAGAGACATCTATCTAGCCATAGGAGGCACTCTCACCTCCTCTGGGAAAAGAAACAAATGAATAAGGCCTTCACTGGGTTTTCCAATCTAAATATTCCTTGCTATCCAAATCCAAACCCAGGAACTAAATAGATTCTGATAAATTTTCAGATAAATCCCTTGCTATCCAATGCCTCACTACTAAGTTCTAACTCGGGAACCAAAGAGATTTGGATCACAGAGAATATTTATATTTATATTTATATATTTTAAATTTAATTAAAAAACAATTACCATATTAACTCTTATTAGAAGACAGGACAGCCGCCATTTTACTTGTTTAATCAAGCCTTAAATAAGACCCTGAAAATCTCGATAATATTTATGAGATCCATAAATCCATCTTCTTGAGTTAAATTTTATGTGTTCAGCCCACTTCCAGAAGCACACAAAATATGCCCTCAAAAAATGCAGACATGCAGGGAGGTGAGAGAGAGAGGAAGCCAAGGCATATTCCCTGTACTACGTTCAATTCAAGCAGATTCTCCACGGGACTCCTCAGTCTACTGTCTGTGCTCAGTGTAGGCGCCATGGAGCAGTAAGCTCAGATGGCAGCAAGTCAGTGACAACTAGGCCACCTGCAAAATATAAGTGTGCATTCCCAGCCTCCAGCTAAGTGTCTGCACTGTTTCATTCATAAGCAGTTTGCTGCTAAAGTTCTTAAGGTAACCTGATGGAAAGTGTAGGTGGTTCCATTATAGAGGCCCCAAACTCCTTTGCGTGACAGATGAGGCCCTCAGGATCTGTACCTGTCCAGTTTCATGGTTTCATTCCTTATCTTTTCCAACCATGACCTCCAGCCACACAAAACCCATGTTATTTCACACTTTCATGCTCTTCTCTCATCCAGAATAATACACCACCAGCACCAGCACCACCATCCCGACCTGGGCACACACACACAGCACATAAACCACACACGTATGAGCCTCACGATCGTGCCTCAGAGAAAGCAGAGCACCAGGCTCTTGCACCCAGTTTATATCCTGGCTTCACTACTTTCCAGTTGTCTGATTTGGGCAAGTTATTTAAGCCCTCAGTTACTAGTTTCCTCATCTATAAATAGGGATAATGATCATAACTAAGACTGTTGTTGAGAACATTAATTAGTTAATAAATCTACAGTACTTTGGTGCCTGGCACATAGAAAGCACTCTATAGGTATCAGTAAGGATTATTTCAATAAGGTGATCATACATTTAGGACCCAGCCTCATCTGTGAGGCCTTCCTCCACTCTTGATCTGCAGCTAGTTGTTTAGCTACACCTCGTTAGGATTCATCTGACACACAGAGTGAAAAAAGCAATGCTTCTAAGGTTACATTTCCCAAAATGTGCTCCAGAGCACTGGTGTCCTACAGGAAGTTGACAGACAAGACACTGACCCAAAAGTAAGAGAAATATAGCATATCATATCTCCCTGGGAGAGTCACAAACACATTAGCATATTAAAGGCTCCGAAAAGTATCTCCAAGGAAACTACAATAGTTTAATTTCATTGAACTCAGTAAGTTTCCCAAACTTATTTGACTATGGAATTCCCCCTCCCATTATCCCCCCTAAAATCTATAAATAGCTAGTGGAACTCACACTTAAGGAAATGCTACACTAGGGTCATTGCAACTACTGAAATGAAATCAATTAGAATTCCTACACCTACAAGTATAACCCACAGACAATCTCAAAAACGGGGACAGCCAATACTAGCATATGTATATGAGTGTCACTGTTTAGGATTTCTACCTTTGTTTCTATTACGTTTTGTTCCTTTTCAGCCACTCTAATTGCATAATAGTTATTTAAGGTAATGTTTTTCCCCAAAGTAGTTCTTGTAACAGTAAATGTTAAAGTCTCATTCTTTTTTGCCTATCTTTCACCTACCCAACAAAATAACTGAAAGGCACTATTTTAATTGTAATTTAACTCCATGAGATTAAATTTTAACTTCATTAACTTCTGTGGTTCTGGTGTTTCTCTAAAGAACTGCTTTCATATGTCTTCTATTCTGGCTCCAAACAGTTCATGGGATGGTCTCCCATTTAAATCCAACAAAACAATATTCCAGTAAATGTTCTCAGAGAAGAAATCAATCCAAGGAAACTGCTTGAATTCCACTTTAAATTTATAAGTAATCATACTAATAAATAATACAAATAATCAGAGAATTACCGAACATTTACGATGTGACAAGCACCACTCTAAGCACTTTACAAGTATTTAATCTTTACAACTCCCCTACAGAGAGGTAGGTGCTATTATTATTCCCATTTTACAGATTTAAAAAGTAGAGGTTCAGAAAGACAAAATACTAACTGGAAGAGCCTGAACATGGGCCTCAGCAGTCTGGCTTGAGACTGTACCCTCAATCACTGTGCTATATCACTTCTCTAAATACTACGGGATTAACTCTCTAGAATGTGAGGGCAGACTTGCTGATATCTAGAGGGCCCTCCCCAGCCATGACCTGCCAGTTCTCAATACCAGGCTGAAAATAGCCATGGGCTTCTTCCAAACTGATGGAAGACCCTTGTTGTCCCAAAGCCATATGGTTCAAAAGCTTCAATGGTAGAGAAAAGAAAGAAGGAGGTCTGATACGAGCAGAGACACAGAGACTCTTTAAATGTACATTTGCATGATGAGCTAGTTGAAATTTATAGTCACATGTTTGTTCATGATCACAGTTTGCAAACTGGTAATGAAGCTGAAGCTATGTCGTGATGACTTTTAGGCCATCCTCTACAGAGCATCTCACAGGGAACACAATTCTGCAGCAATTGTTAAGCTGAGAGTCGGCTAGCCCAGGCTGTTCCAGGTCCAGCTCCATCATTCACTAGTACCGTGATCCTAAATCACTTTAACTTCAGTGGACCTCAAAAGTGAGTGTGGATCTAGGAAATTCTAAGATGGAGAAAAACAGTATTCATTCTCAAAACAAAACCTAAAAGGTAAACACAACAGCAATAACATTGTAAAACGCATTCTAAAATAACAAAAAAAAACCTCTTTTTAACAATATTTTTTCAACTAATCTCTAGCACAAACCCGAACAGCCTTAAAATATTTGACAGATTTCGTTGAAATCAGAGCATTCATTTAGTGTTCAGTCTGGCTTGAAATGTCCCAAACCATGGCTCCTAGTCACTTGCAGAACCACTACCTCAGCCAAAGGTCCCATTTTCCCTGATCTTTATCTATGACAATGTTCCACTCTGCTGACATCCTCCTTCATTGACAGTTTTTTCCATTCACTGACCTTTCATTCATTGTTGTACTCTAGTGACCCCAGTTTCATTTCATTAATTAACAACAGATGAGACACTGCCTGATTTCCCCGAACACTTGAAAATCTGTGTCCTCATCAGCAACTCAGTTTTGAAATATGTCTAAAATGTTCCTCTTCCTCTTACAAACTAAACCTAATAAGAAGAAAAGTACAATTCATTTATGTAAACTTTTTGTTACAAATGGCTGACACACAGAAGAGTCATCTTATCCATCCTTGTCATAGCTCTGGGCTGACCCATAGACTCCAAGTTACATTGCATTACATGAAGACATAACATCGGTTCATTATCTTCCTTTGTTTACTGTGAAAAGCAGCACTGAAAAGCTTCTTGAAAAAGTTTTTAAATATTTTTAAAGTTGTTCAAGGATTTGACTCGCCATCTAATCGTGTCAAGTTTTCTCCTATCCCTAGATTTTACACTGTTTATCATCTGGTGTAGAAAATAAAAAGCGTATAAACCCATATGTGCTCCCCTAAGGTAGACCTGGATCTAGGTATGGCTGTAGCTGCTATTGCTCCTATACTAGAAGTGTTTGTTTTTAACAGGAAAGAAGACACATTTGCAGACACCCTGGCCTATAGAGAGAAATGGAGACGGGAGACTGGCAGACAGATGTGCATACACATTTGGCCTCTACAAATTTGGACAGGCAGGCAGACAAATTGCAATGTTAAAATCCATATTTCTGTGTGTTAGTCTTCCACAAATCCAACCAGTGTTCATGCATGTTTATAAATAAAAACATATATATTACTTTGGACAGAGAAAACATTTGGTATAGCTTAAAGGCATTTGCAATTTATGTCACTTTATTCTAATTCTGCCAAGAAAAACTCCTTCCCTAAGTGCACCTCCTTCACAATTCC